GCTGTGTCGGAATACTAAAATATCCACCTAAATGCCTTTCTGTTTGGTTTAAACTACCTATCTGAGCATTAAAGTCACCTGCTACGAGTACTATGTCTGAGCGTTTAGCTTTCTGAAGAAGTTCAGATAGCTTTCTGTAAAATTCATCTTTCACTTCATCTGAGCTGCAGTCAGTGGGAGCGTAGGCAGAAACGACAAAAAGGCAACGACGTGTGTCCCTATCCTTCCGAGTTCTTACGGAGCCGTTTAGCCGAACAGCACATAGACGACTGTTGACGGGGATCCACTCTAGCAGTGCTTGTTCGCCCTCATGCTTAGTGCTATGCCTACACCTGCCAGTCCACGAGAACTGCCATCGGGTCACCAGATACACGGAGGGTGTATCTCGTTGGCTCTCCGTTTGCCGAGGTGAGGTCAAGTGAATGACCACACTGGATCCTGTATGCGTGTTTCGGAGACACAGCATACATCAATGGAAAGAGACTCTAGGGTTTTAGCCAAGGAAGCCTGCTGACCGATTTGACATAGGGTGCGTACGTTGAAGGCTCCAATGTGTAGTTTGGAGCGAGGTTTCAGTAGACCTGGGACAGTGTTTTGAGCACTAGAATCGTTGGCTATGGTGACACTTGAGGGGAAGCCGAAAGAGGAAGTTTAGAGTTGAAAGTCGATGTAGGAGGAATAATAGGAATTGAAGAGGAGGTTGATTATGAATACAGTGGTCTTGAGTGCTGTTAGAGGTATGAGGGCGGTTATCACTTCCCGGTTGCCCACACCGTGGAAGGGTTCTTCTGGAGGTACCTGAAAAGGAAATTGGATTAGAGGTGGTCTTAGTGACCTGAGAGCGTGACCGCAGTGCCCAAGGGACAACTGCTTGAGGTCGGTCACACACGACCTTTTTATGGGTAATTTTTGTGTTAGCTCCGTACTTGTTGAGACCTTACCGCCGGAGACGGATATCCGTGGGATAAGGCGAGGTGTGCATTTTTAGGGTCGACCTTTTCTAACCCCCCTTGTGGGAAGGCAGCATCGCTGTCATGCTGGTTGTCTGAAGGAAACACCTTACTGCTGTCACACCTCTGTACAGTCAGCAGTACGACTTCGCCTTCGGACCTTGGGTTTGTTGCTTTTAGTCTTACCGCTCTTCAACCGACCTGTCTGACATGGTAGGACCTTGAGGAACGGTTGTTCCAGCCAGTATAGCTCGGTTGCTTCATCACGATAGGCAAGCCCGACCACCACGTCAAGGTAGCAACAACGGTCGGGAAGTGATTGTTTAGTTCTTATTAAGACTAAATTAGTATCGATTATTTTAATTTCCACATTGGATTATAATAGTTACTTCTGATATAGGTTCACGTCCAGTTTCTGCAGCTGACTTCAAAAGGTCGGATCTATTTTTGGCTTGGTCAATAACACATCAGTTCAAAGTCAAGGGATAAGTGGGAGATGTTAACAGGTGCACGTTATTAGCCGAAATTTGACTTATTTTTTTGAGGGGTATATATATATATATATATATATATATATATATATATATAATATATATATATATGGAAATACCATGCTGTGTATTCTTCTACTTCTGCAAAACCTTACTTATGAAATCAGGAGATATGAATGGGCTATTAACATTTAATCATACATATCTTCAAATCATTTCTAAAATTAGACGGTTCAGGTGATTTATGAGGTTATAAACATTTATTGCTTCAGGTGGTTGCACCATATTGTACATGTGTTTGGCAACCCTTCCTCTAACGTACAATGCTGGCTGACATGGAAGCAAATCGGAAAACAACCAGAGAAGGCTAAACAAAAAATAACATTATTGCATATAGTTAATAACTGCCTGTTTTTAAGGAGACTTCAGGTTAACTAATTTTCTGTTAACAAAACTTAGTTCATTCGTGAGAGGACAATCACGATAGCCTTTGGTTGACTAATTTTCTCGTGTCCCAATTTTAGTTGCTACATAGATAGAGTTGTTCCGTATTAACTTTGAATTTTCGAATATTAAGATTCTCCTGAACGCATATTTATCATCTGTTCCATCGCAACTGGGATAATTCTTGAAATGTTGTAAGTGTCGGTCATCCAGTCTGTGGATTTTGCATTAGATCCGATTCATTTGAGAATCCCAATTATTTGGAACTAGGAATTACAGTACGTCGGTCGCAAAAATTAATACTAACCCACATCAGTGGAGGTAGACCTCCTGGATGATCCAGCGCAGCAGGCCTAATTTAACATTGGGGGTGTTAGATACTTGATCAACGTGGTGTGATCACAATCCATGTCTCCTAAACTAATAAAGTGATCCTTCTTAACTTCATCTTCTTTGATTTCATTCACCCATTTCACGTTATACTACTGTTACTTTAAAGACTGAAAAACCTAACGGTAATTTCAAATTTTGAATGATTAGGATTACTATAATGTAATTGGTATCTAATATGAATTATATAAACCGGATGAATGACACAACATTTTGACAGTAATCCCTAACACTGTAGAAGACGGAAGAAGTCAGACGATCAGGAGAAATTAATATTCAAGAAGATAAATTTGAGATAGAACAACTTTATACATATGTTAATAAAAAATCCTTCGGTTGTAGTAAAATTACCGAGTTAAAAATGAGCATATCTAATCAGATACAAGCAAGGATCGGTGCAGAAATCTGAATTAGAAAAAATATATTCACAGTAATTGTACTGGAAAAACCTTATCATAAGGCTACGGAGTTCTACTAAGTTATTTAAATGTACTTTGAGAAACCACTAAATGATATAGGTTTATCTCATACATGATAGTAGTTATAACACAGTTCTATAGATTTTCAAACAAGGATGAAACAACCGTTCAATGGTTTTAATCAACTGTGTAAGATTATGCAATACTGTGCAATCACCATTGATTGACACTAGAAATTATTGTCTCACATTCGACATGGCTGAACTCCATCAGCTCTAACTCCTCACAGAAACTCTAGAAACTATTCAACAAATTGATTGCAGTAAAAATGTAGGCAGGTAGATATCAACTTAGTTATTTGGAATTTAGGCAACAGCTTCCAGGACTGAAAGTCCTGGTTTCAATATCTGGTGAGTTTATGATTATGTACTGATGTAGAGTCTTTTACTAGAATGAATCAGATACTTAATTCTTATTATTATTCATTGGTTGTCTAAATAAGATCATTCCGTGACATGAAAATAAAAAATCCAACAATTTCCATAACTATCTATCCTAAAAATAAAATATGATTTGAATACCAGATGAATCTTGCAACTTACTATTGGATTCTACGTCTAATCAATAAATCTCAAGTCAGTGGTTCGAATCATTACTTAATGGTAGTACCTATTAAAACTTCAGTCACTGTCTATATAAAATAAACAATAGTAAATTTACTAATTATACCTTATTGTTTATTCTTTTTTCACAACTAAAATGCGCATTGATTATTTCGTTTCGTTAGTATTTCTAACTGAATCCAGAAAACATAAAAAGATTATTTTAAATGAAAAACAATTATTAAACATATAGACTTTCTCTATGCAAAATACAAAATACATGGAGAAATACATACATATACAGAAAAGCAATAGTGTCACATTTCAAATACATTTGAATAGAGTTGTTTTGTGGATAATAAGAATATGAACACATTGTTCATAAATTGATTACAATGAAATGTTTAAGCTTGTTTGTTTTCGCAATTTTACAAATAACAATTAATATCAAAAGGGGTTTTGTGGATATTTCAGTAATTTTAATAGTCAAGATTATGAGTCAATTAAAGCTAGACCATCATGGAAAATCTGGAAGCACTGGACGGCCGTTTCGTTCTACTGTGGAACTCTTCATCAGCGCGCATCTGTGATCCCGCATATGGGACTCAAACGCAGACTTTTGGTCTTGTTATGTTTTGTTGTAGTTATTATTTGTTGATTTATCCAGTATGATATGAACAACTTAAGTTTATTATGGAGTAATGTATATTTGAAAATGTTATTTTGAAAAAATGAACTGATACCAGTTAGTAATCAGTTGAGAAACAGGACAGTTTAACACTTATCAGCTTTATGCAATCAGCTACCATGTACGAGATCAAAACCATGCGGATCTAGGCAAATATAAAATCTTTACAATTGATTGATCACTGGGTGGTGATCAATGTCATGTATGTCAAGTCCTTCTTAGTGCAGATCGAACCCTATCGAGTCACCTAGACTGGTGGCCACGTTGCAGCTTGGTCGGTAGAATTCGATCTGCACTAAAAAGGACCTGAAATACATGACATTGATCACCGCCCAGTGATCAATCAGTTGTAAATACATCTCAGTCCTACAGGAGGTCAGTCGTGGCCCGGATAGCTCAATAGTAACCTCTCTGACTGTGAAGCTGGGTGACACGGGATCCAATCTGTCAGTAGGCATCAGTTCCCTCAAGATTAAGGAACACCTTGCTGACGAGTGCCAAGTAGCATGAAACCTAGGTCCAGGATTTCCTGTTGACTACCTCCAACCACCATCTTACCAAATTTAATATCTTAGAGCTACAGCCAACAATTGTCCTTTGCTTTATACTTTGTTTTTCAGCTGAAATCAATCAGTTACGATTAGTGGATTCCACCTGGTGAAATAAACTATAATCAGACAGTTGGAGGTAATGGTAAAGATATTGTGAATCGAGGTCTTGTACTCACTAGCGCTAATCAGCATAGTGTATCTGAACCTACTTAGGAAGCATCGATGTTTTCATAAGGGTAGACAACCTTTGTATTTTATTGCGTTAACCATAAACATATATCACTTGACTTTCTGACGTATACCAGGATTTCAGTTCAGAACAAATAACTTATCTTAGATCAGTTAATAAATTAAGTCACACTCTTTAAAAGTTGTACATATTTAAATGTAATACTGTTTGAAATAAAGCTAATATACTTTTTACATAATTTTCGGTCCACCTCCTTTATTGCTAATAACCTGAAGGATCCGGAAATGGAGAACTTTTTTAATGCTGTTACCATATCGCCAACAAGTTTATCTATGAAAAAACAATCTCAGATACCTAATTCAAGTCAGAACAGTTCACCTGCAAAATATGCCAATTATCAATCGACACAACACAATTTATCTGATATGGAAGATCAACGAATAGTACACGAAATTCGTTCATCCCCATATTCAACTGAAGAAAACAATTCTCAAAAGTTAGCTTCACCATCAATCAATAGATCTTTGTATAGTCGTGTATCTAACAGTAATAATAATAATAATAATAGTTACACTAGTCGAATTTATTCTCGTCTTCAAAATGAGCAATACAATAATAATTTTAACAATGATATTGATGGTGAATTTCCTCGAGGTATTCAACAATCAGGATTGGATTCACCTCAAAGTGATAGTGGTTGTAGCCTGGCTAGTCATACAACATCTGATGGTAAAGATGGAAAAGAAGTAACGAATGTGTTTGGTCGAGTAACAGTTGGTGCAGAGAATTATGATAATTCTAATAATCGTATAAATGTTCGACGACTAACTCAACCTCATTATAACTTTCAAATTGAAGCAAACAATCGAACAATGTCTCCTTCTCGTCGAGACAGAAGTCATGGTGGTGATGAAGATGAAGATTTTGACACAGAGTCAAAAAATAATCGTCCAAAAGGATTTGTTTCATTATTACGTAGAAGTCGTAGTAGTGCTGCTGATCATGTTATGATGAATGGATTTCGAAGTGAACTTAACTCTCCTTGTTCTAACGACACAATTAATCATAATCGAGCATCAATAGACACTCCAACACCGACAGAATCAGGTGCTTCGGGATCAGAACAATATGAAATATGTGGGAATGAGAGAAAACCAGGTGATCGTTTAAGTCGATTGAGAGCTTCTCTTAGGCAGTCATTTGGATGGCCTTTATCAAAACCAGACTTTCGAATGGAAGCCTTTGCAGCTAGGCAAGGTGAAGCTAGAGCTTTGTTAAAACTCAGAGAGACCAGAATGGATGTAAGTTTTATCTTATTCTAGTATTCAATTTAATATATACACTATTTGACATCATTTTTAGTGATTGACATTAAAAACTAGTCTCAGTGTTTGATCTTTTGGATCTAATACATAACTGTAAATTTGTATTCCTAAATGCATCTGAATCTTCCATTTATTACTCCATTGAGCGGAACACCATTATCATAATTATCAAGCCTTTACTGTAACGGCAGTTAGTAGCTGTTTTAAAACTGATAACAATTTAATTAGTTAACAAATCGCTTTATTTTCAAATAAGCCATTTATGTCGAATAGTCACTTAAGCCATTTATTAAATTATAATAATCATAGACGCTAATGGTTTGCATGAGGCTTATTGAATATCTATGAATATTCATTCTTTTATTATTCCTAATCCTGAACATTCATAGTCATATGAGTCCCCACTGAGATTTCTGTAAAACAAATTACACCCTTTTTCACAGGAGTGCTTTGTGACAACTAATTATTATGAAATATTATTGCGTTGATCATTTAAGTAGTTGTGTTTTATAATTTGAGATCATTAGTGACCATTTGACCATATAAGGATCTAATTTTACATGTAGCCTGATTTTCTAAACAAGTCCCTCAACTGTCGAAAATGGAGTCTTAAAGAAGCCATGTACAGAAAAGTCAAAAACCTTTTTTATTTCTAAAATATAAATTAATACAACTAGTACAAGACCAAGAAATAACTATCAGAGAAAAGGAGTCATAAAAAGTGCATATCAATCAGTATTAACGGTTGCAACACAACGAATCAATCAAAAATTAGTCATACTTATAAACAGGGACAATTTTGTGATTGGTAGTTAAGCAACTTGAAGGTCTAACTCGGTCATAGTGGTAATCTTTTAAAGTAACATATTACTGGAGAAGTTAATGGATTATAATTAATAACTGCTTAACATTATTCTAGAGCTTAAATTGTATACTTGTACCTATGTGCACTATAAAATATGTAAATGTCAGTCCCTGATAGGTGAAACTAAAGTGTTATTTGTCTATTTCCTCAGGTTCTGAGAGTACAATCCAGATGTCAAACATTACAACGTCATATTGATCGTCTGGAAGCTATCAATTCATTTCGTATGTCTGAACTTGAAGATGCTGTAGCTAATGATCGTGAACTTCGTCAAGAGATTAGAAATTTACAAACTCGAATCTTTCAAATAGAAGCTGAGGTATACATCATAAATCTTTTTTTATTTTCAACCTTTTTCATTGAATTTTTTAGTCCAGTGATTTATTCTGTCGTCTATATACACTAGAGGAATTTCCTTTTAATAGAATTCCACTTTCAGCACATGAATAGCTGGACTAAACGTACTGTTTTTATGAGAAAGAGAGGAGCAATAAAATGAAGTAATTGAAAAAGCTGAAAACTTTGAGGCAGTAAATCATTAATTGACAAGATAATGCATAAATCTAGATGAACTAATGAGCGGTTTGCTGAAACTAACAGTTTCCATTATAGTTTCCAGCAATAGTGTCTATGATGTGACAATGGGGGATGTAGTTATATTAAGACTCCATAAACGCTCTGCTGACAAGTGCCAGTTATCATGGAACTGGAGTCCAGGGCTTTCTGATGCTTAATTACAATAAGTTGCATTCTTTTTGATTAGCTAAATAGATCAATCTAAAAACCCTAGACTATTTGACTAATCGGTATGCCTTTAAATAATCTTTCCCGTCACCTAAATAGAAAGTAGTGTTTGATCCGCATAACAACTCAGTTACATTTGATACTTTGTAACTATACTGCTAATTTATTGAATGATTCAGTGCTTCCAGGTTTCCAAAGGTGGTCTAACATCAATCGGTTCATGATCTCAATCAAAAACTTAATAATCTCCACAACCCCTATACTAGTGATTAACATGTGCTCACTAGTGACTAGCTTCGTGAGGCAATTCTCGGAGTTCTAGTGAGAAGCCGTGACCAGTGGAGCTAATCCATGTCGGGTAGAGACAGGTATCTACCTCAGTACAATGGAAGATGGTTGCGCAATTTCGTGGATTGGTTGATGTTGGACACTATCACCATTGGATGCCGGTTCAGCGGTCCAGTAGCTTAAGCGTTCGCGCGCGAGACCGGAGACCCTGGGTTCGAATTACGCGAGCGGGATCGTGGATGCGCAATGCTGAGTAGTCCCACAATAGGACGAAACGGCCATCCAGTGCTTCTAGGTTTCCAACGGTGGTCTGACATCAATCGGTTCATGGTCTCAACCAAAAACCTTGAAATTCAGTCATCCGTTTATATTACGTAATTATATGTTGGTTGTAATTAATTTATTTCAATGAAATGTGTTGATAATATTCTGTTATTCATTTAAGTTTTTTTTACCGTTTTACCATAATTATTACTTTTCTCTCAAACTAATAAACAGCATCGAGAGTTTAAAGTTGGCCAACGAATTAAAGAAATGGAATTAATGAGTAAATTAGCAGAATCTAATATGCGTCTATCTCATGCAGAAATGTCTAATCAACAAGCGATTGTCTGGTCCCAATTGAATAAAGCACATGAAGCGGCAGTTGATTTATTGACACCAGCACATTCTCAAACATCTTTAATATCACCTTGTATGTTAACAGTTGAATCACCGTCTACTTCACGATATACCATAGCAAATAATAGTAATAATAGTAATAATAATAACAATAACAATCCTGGTTGTAAAGAGGATGGTATGGATACTTGTCGAAACAAGAATAATTTTTCATCAATTTCACGATATGGTGATTTAAGAAGAGATGTAAGCGGACGGAAAACAGATTTAAGCAAAACAACTATATTCACAGAGGTAAGTTGAAGTATAAGCTTGAAGGAATTGCATTGAATGTTGATTATTATTTGTTCATTATTTATTTGGAACAACACATATAAGCGAACAATTGTTTTCAATTAGATCGTCATCAGGCTTTACTCTAATATACATGAATATTTATACGAAAGTTTTAAACCAATCAAGGCAATATGAGTCAATAATCACAATGAAATAGAATAAGTCTCTACACATAATAGGTAAAAGTACAAGTTGATAGTAGGAAGACAGGTGAACTGCTTTTTATCAAGACAAGAATACCTTCATTCGGTATTGTTTTTTACTTAAGTTTGTATGGAAAAAATACTAACAAACTGATTATTCTAGATAAATTTTTGTATCTTTAATGAGTAAAGCCTATGAAATTATAATTAAATTTAGTTCGTTATCCATTTAAATCATTGGCTATAGTAAAAGGAAGTGAAGAACTAACGGTTAAACTACTTGACTTTTAATTATTAGAATGCAGTTAGAAATTTAACATGTAAACGGGCCGATAAATCGGTACTTGGGAAGTAGTATATATCTGGTTTCAGAAGAATATAAATATCTATCCCAGTATTGTGATTAGCTTTGAAATTTAAAGATAATATATGAGTAAGTTAAGAAAAGTAACTTTTCACGGAACGACTAACATTCTTATGATTAGGATAAAACTATGCTACACTGTAGAAATAGAAAGAGAGAGGGAGGCTAAGAATGACCTTAGATGTTTTGTCGTATTTATTCACTAATCAGTAGAAAATCAGAATCAAGAATCTATTGCTAAATCAATAGACTGTAACATTTGTGAGGGATTTACTTGACTAGAGAGCTTTATTAAAATTCACAATAGGTGTTTTCTATTTAACAGTAGCTATTTTCGCTACAAAGAAAAGTGTTCATTCTAATGACCATTAAATGTTTGAGCTATTTAACGAGTTGTATACAATTGTGAAATGATTACTCATAGGCAAAGATGGGTAGTGGCTAACAGTGGAATCTACGACGCGCGTTTCTTCCTATTTGAGACTTTTCAGCTGGATGTACCTGCATCTCAGAGTTGATGTTCAGTGTGGGACTCGAACCCAGTACTTAGCTACCCACATAGCTACTGAGTCATGATAGCCACTTGCTTGTGCAGTGGGATGAAGTTTAAATTTACTTGTGTTGTTTATTTGAGACTGATCAACTGCGTTCCTAAACATCAAAGGGAAGTTTGGAGTTAACGATGCAAGTGGATTTGATTAGTTATAGTTTTTATAATATTTATATCTAAACTCATTAAATGGTCAACGAACTGACGTTATGAAACAAAAATCTGAGAACCATCGAATGAAAATCTTAACTTTTTTTAACCAATCTACATCATACATCAGTTTCTATTATTCAATAAGTTAGTCATGATGTGATACCACCTCGCGAGATTCGAACGCAGGACTTTTTAATAAACTCATAGATTTATCTTTTCTAAAATCTGAGATAAAAGTCTTAGAAAATTGATTTTAATTTATTCCCATGGTTAAATGCTCTCGGACGAAGAAATGCTGAGCTTAAACATGAAATTAGTATTGTCAAATTAATTTCCAAGTGTAAATCATCACATTAACATGATGTTTTATTTTCCTATTGTCAATTCAGTTTTCTGATGGACAACACAATGCAAATTATGAAAGTATAAATGATAGACGATTAATGAGATCAGAGTCAAATTCATCAACTCAACGAAATCATCACCATCAACATACATCTAGTAATCGACGTGATAAATCAATTGACTCTTTATCAGAATTACGTTTAATGCCAGAAATTAGCATTATAGGGAAATCTTCAGACGTAAATCGATAATTATCATCATATCATTCAATAACACATTAAAACAACAATGACATTCAATGTCTTTATACATTACATATCTGATAAATTCACATATCAAAATAGCTCTTAGATATAAATTGCTTCAATATACATACATATAGATATAATATCTGTGTATATCGCTGTTTACAAATGTATTGTGTATTCAATGTTTTATACCGATCTGTCACTCAATATTAAGTACTTTTTACATCACTCATCCTTTCCTAAGCACTTAACATCTACACTCTTCTCACAGAAACAAAACAAAAGAACACAACTACTAATAAGCAAATGAACATATATACATATATATATATCTTATGAACCAGTGTTTTCAAGTAGTTACCTTTCTTGAAACTTTGTTGTTTCTTCTTATCTCTTTTTTCTTTTCTTTATAATCTCTTGTAGTCATCATTTGTACTACCTTTTTTCATTGTTGTGTTCAAAGAAAAAAAGACATATACAGTTTGATTTTTAGTAACGTATGATGATTCCTTTTGTTTTCTTTCAATAACTACACTTATTATTATTATTATTATTATTATTATTATTATTATTGAAGATATTTCATTTTGGCACTATTCATATTCATAATATTTATTCTTAACTATTTTTATTGACTTGATTTTATTCCTTTTTCTTGTTTCTTTATTGTTTATGTTTTTTTTTCTCTTCATGATATTGTCAATAAAACAGTTTTTGGTCATTATACTTTCATTGGTTTAATTAATGGCTGTGCAATTATCATTATTATATATATATTTATTATTATTATCAAAGTTACTATTATGATTACTATTTTAGAGTAAAGAATTTTCTTTTTTTGTTGTTGTTGATTTACTGGGATTTTCTATCTGTTTTATCTTTTTCCCCTTTCACTCTCTTTAATAAACATGCTTATTATTATTCATTTAATCAATAATTTATTACATCTTGGTGATGATAATGATAATTAGTTATCATGGGAATTATTTTGTAAGTGGAACTGTTTACTATTGAAAGTCATGAAATGATTTTTTTATATATAGAGAATAATAGATAAGTTCGATATCAGCGTTTGTTATCTAAAGTTTATGGGAATGTTAAACAGAAGCAATGAAATTTATATTCAATTTTAATCAAGGATATACTGTTGAGATCATGGACATGTTTCTTAACTAGTTTAAAAATTCATATTTTTAGTCTCATATTGACTCCCAGACTCTTTCTACTTAGTACATAAAACAATATTAAGTACAGGTTAAATTAACAGCCAAAGCACTCAACTCCAAGTAAGATAAACTGTAATCTTATTTATTTATAAAACCGTTGAGATTTATTGAATTATATCTATTACATAGCTGGATGATATATGATGACAAATGTTTCCATGTTTGAAATCACAAGTTTATGTAAGCTAGACCATCATTGAAAAACAGGGAGCACCGGATGGACATTCCATTTTGGTTCGGGACTCCTCGAGTGTCCATACTCATCATTCGTCAAGCGGGGACTCAAACCTAGAACTTTCGATGCTTAACCGTTAGACCACCGAGTTGGCATTCAACTATGTCAATGTTTAGCTTCAATCAGTCCATGATCTTGCAAAACGTTTCATCCATGGCCTGTGATGAATAGCTGTCTCAAACCTGATATAGATTGGATTCCACTCGTCACAGATTCTCACAAGAACTCCAAGAGTTACGTCTTGAAGCCAGCAGCATATAGGATTTATGGAGATTGCAGTATTTTCACAGGGTTTTGTAATATAGGTGTATAATAATCCATAAAAATCAATTAATATGTAGTTAGAAGAAAGTTTTATAAATATTCCTATTGTAGATTAGAAAGGCAGAGGAAAGTGAAACTTGATCAGATTTTTAGTAGAATCAACTGATAGGAAACCCTGTGGTGTGACTTCAATAATGTTCCACTTAGTTAATTTTTCCTTTAAATTCAATAATTTATTGATCGACGGTCAGTACATTGATATTTAACAATGATGATATTTCATCAGTCTACCAACTTGAAGTTTTTAAGTGTAACTGAACACAAACTGTTTAATTTCTGTGTTACATGTATCCAGAGTACTGACCCCAATTCGGACGTTACTATAACTTGCTATCATCCACTTGATAGGTGCACACCTCAAGTGTTACAAATGTTACAAATCGAATGCATATGACCACTAAATTTAATTTTCAGATTTCAGTTATTAAAAAAAATTATTATTCAGACTATTATGATAAACTAGCTTGATGGAAACGAAAACAAACTGTGCTTTAGAGAAAAATGTGTTAAAAATGAATGCGTATAGAAAATGACAAATAAATGATTTCAAGAAGGATATCAAACATAAACTCATTGAATCATTTCTAGTGTTATTCTAATAGAAAAACACCGTTCGAACCTTTGAACAAACTTTTACAATCACTTGATAATATGCATTACCAAGGGAAGGAGTGACCGTCTAACCTATTGTACCGTCTGATTTGGGTTAAATCGAGTTTTTTTTAAACTTCGTAAGTACATAGTTATTTATTCAAGTAGTTGTTTTCGATATATATGTATTTGGGTATTCAAATGTATCTCCTGATATGACATAAAAAAAGTAGAATCTGTATCAAACACTTACTTTGTTCAAATGACACTTGGTAAATTCAAAATCTTTTTAAATTTTCGGAGATATAGAATACTCCATCAATAAATATTTATGTTTTAATTCTTGTCATATGAATAAGCTATAATGAAATTCAAACATATATGATTGGACCGATTGAACCATACTATACTACTAAAACAATCAGGTTCAAGTTGGTGTGACTTTCACATTCTAGTATAAAATTGCAAAGTTATTCCCAATTATCGATCTCTTGGTGAGAAAAAGTGAAAAGAACGATTTCGGTTCAATAATGTGGTAGTAACTGGATAATCTAAATGCAAAGAAACGTGAAACGATCCACATCTGTGGTACAACCAAATAAAATCGTATTTCATCCCACGCTTATTTGGAGAAAATGTTTAAACAAATTATGTTTTATGAATGATATACTGAATAATACACACAGTTAGTGTCATCAAAGTATCTAAACTGTGCACATAGCACTTGGAACCTCAAGATTTTAGTGGCTAGTTTGTCAGACTATATCCTTTGCTATATGTTCACTAGATATCACTTGCCTATAGACTTTGATTTGATCGTGGCGTTCATTTAACGGATTAAAAATACACTCAATTGTCAATAAAAAATTAATTTTTCTATTTCACAGGAGTTTTACTAGTAAATCCTTAATAATAAAGGGTGAGTTTCTCTAAGATTTCCACTCAAATGAATAAAAAAAATGGAAATAACAACAAATCTATAAAGTGTATTGGATGTTTGATATGCTATATCTTGATTTAAGGATTTATAAAAGTGTACAGCTGGAAGATTTTTAGTTGAGTAGTGGATAAGAGCAAAATTCAGAAAGATTTATTGATATTATCACCTATCCAAACATTTAATGTGCTACAAAAAGCTATAATATAGCTCTCCCAAGAGGACTATTTTCTTATCACTTGAATAGTACAGCCTAATCTGTAGCACTCAACTATGAGGACACAAATCTAGAAGAATCGGTTATGTAGTAGTCTCAAATATCATTTTACTTGTAAGAACCAAAATATTCAAATGTCAGTTCCTAGGTTTTACTCTGACCATTTTCAAAGGTTAAGAAGCCTTAAGCAGAGTAAAGTATGTCTTTTAGCAGCAAAAATAAAGTGCGCATGATATTGTGCTTATGATTTTGAGTTATCTAGGCCCAGAGACAATTTTATCATTTTGTTTTTGATAACCGGTTTTAATCATATTCTCCTTATTGTGTTTTATACGTGATCTTTTTTTCTGTCGGACTTTTCAGTTTGCTATCCTCAGTGTAAACTCACGTACCCATGTAAATGGGTATTTTTTAATTAAGTAATATTATGTTCGACGTCAGATGATTCCTCCGTGAAATCCTAACACTGTATTTTCCTAATAATAGGTAACATGCACAAGTAAAAACTTCAATGCAAAAATTATAATTATCACTTTCAATAAGAAGAAAAAATATAGATATGAAGAAGACAAATTAATGATAAGAAGGATTACAGAGACAGAACTGCCATCATTGTATTAATTTACTTTTAAATAGACCTTAATAAGTAGAAGCATCGTAAGCACAAATATTTAGTCAAGTCATACTATGAAATGAAAGCTAAAATCATAATAAATGTTGTTATGAATAGTGCCATATGCTTGTGTATCTATTGAACCAGATTTTTGAACACTTCAACTGATTGTAATAAAACAATGAATAGAAAATCTGGTCCGATTAAATGCACATCATTGTAAGGATTTGTTTAGATCGTTTCAACGCATTTTTTCTGTAAAATGTTTTTTTAATTTGTTTACTGTTACTACTGATCGAATTTATAAGTAACATACATTTTCGGTGAGATATTTTCTAAAATACATTTTGGGTCATGAAATGTGAGAATTTTGAAAGTTCAGTTGAATACAGGAGTTTGGAATTTTTTAAATGATTCAAAACTCTTTTGACTTATTTTACACAATTATGATTGTTCAGGGGAAGATAATTCTAAGTTTTGTTGTTGGATAAATTTTAATCCTGATCCCAACAGACGGTCAGATAAGGCGAAATAGCCAGATTTACGTTTATAAACTAACACTGGCTTATGCAAGCCTGAATTTTCATGACATTCTGTAGAATTTTTACAAGCTGAATCTTGAACTGGTACTACTAACTGATGCTTTGATTGACCATTCGATCCACACATTGTCCACCAAGCAGCACGATTTCGATTTGACTTTCCCGTACGATGTGATACTGTTCGCGATCGAAAGTCAGACGAACTACTGGTAGTAGAATCAGAATGTGAACTAATAGAAACATGACTTTTGAATGGAAGTATTTCATGGTCTTTAAGTGAATTAGGTGTACCGGTTTGTGAACGTGATGGTGTGACCATTGTCATTGTTATTGGAAGTATATGTGTTGAATATGAAATATCTGGATTTAAACTAGTATATTCAGCTATTCGTAGTTCATCTTCTAATTGAATTTCTTTTAAACAGAAAAATAAACAAATAGAACTTTCAATTAATCAAAATCTAACAAACTAATTTCGATGATGTTATGAATTTATAAAACGTTTGTACTATATGTAAGTTAGACAAGATAAACAGGATAGCATGAACTCTTCAAATAGATACTGAGATCTTAGTAACTAATGCGTTTATAATGTCTATTTTTTTAATCTTGATTATAATAGATCTGATATTAAGTCATAAGATCACTTGTTACATGGTTATTAATTTTACAGTTATTAGATTTTTAAAAAAATTCTCAAATATATTGAAAAATTCTATTTAGCTTAGATAACTTGTCATGAAAAGAAAGGAATAATTATTTCGTTTATCGATCCCTCGAGTGGGATCGTGGGTGTACACTGCTGAGGAGACCCATACTAGGACAAAATAGTCGTCCAGTGCTTCCAGGTTTTTCGTAGTGGTCTAGCCTTAA